TATATATATATATATATATATATATATATATATATATATATTGCGCCATTGTGATCGGAGTGACGTAAGAAGGACGAGGCAATAAAATGGTGGTGGGATTGTAATAACGAGATCGGCGATACCGAGGAACAGGTCGCGATATTCGATGTAGTAGAACTCGATGGTCCTGGGGTGGGTGCATGTGCAACTGCCCGCAACTTCGAACTCGACACACAACTCAACTGCCATTGGGAGGGACGTACGTGTGTGAATGTGTGCGCGCGTACACGCGTCCCGAGAGGAAGAGTAAATGGTCGACCGTGGTCAAAAGAAGGGGGAGAAGGAAAGGGGAAAGGTTGACCATTGACGCTGCTATTATTATTATTATTATTATTATTATTATTATTATTACGTATTTACCATTATTATTGATATTATTCGTTATTCTCTATCGATATTACACCGCGACGAATTGCGTTTTTTATTACGGGATTCGTTTACAGATTCGTATTTCATACACGAACACCGTGTGTTTTGTGTGGATCTGGAGGGAAACAGAGAGGGGAAAACTGACGAACACTTCGTGTGTGATAAAATAATATATATATATATATTCATAAAGAAAAATATAAATATATATATGAACATACATACGTATATAGGTATATACGTTTATCGACATGAACGTGAGATGAGAAAGAAGGAGAAAACGAAGTGCGAAAGGAGAATGTTTCAAAGTGTATGCGTGAGAGGAAATTAGGATTAATAACGATATCGTGTAAACGCATTATTAAGTACCTATCACCCGCCAGTTCGCGCCGATCCCAGAGGACGAAGAAAAGGAAGCCGATCTTTCTTTTTCCTTTCTCTCTCTCTCTCTCTCTCTGTCTCTCTTTTTTCTTTCTCCTCGTACGTCGACGGCCGTAATTTTTACACGCGCGCGGGCCGATTCTCGAAGGCCTCCTTTGCCTTCGCCGCGATCGCCGCGATCTGGCGCACGTACGAACGAACGAACGAACGACGTAACGTTTACGGCCAAGGTTTCTCGTGCCAAAACGACGATATCTCTCCCCGATATAACGCGATAACGTCCGGTGCCGCGATGCTGATACGAATGGACACCGACGCAAGCCAACTTTGAGTGTTAATATCGAAAATATTATTTCGAGTGGGTTGAAAACGAGTGGGGATGTCGCGTTGAATAAGAGGGATTTTATTGAAATTTATTGCTGGTCAATGAATTGGAAGAAAGATGTTCGGAACCTTGGAAAACGGAACGATTTTTACAATTGGAAATTTGAAAATTCCATGCGATTACGAATGAATCGTTACTTCTATAGATTCGAAAGAAGCAAGGAAATCAAAAAAGCAAGAAATGTATATTTTTAATCAAAATTTCGAGAAAAATCAAAAACGTAGGAGGAGGATTCGAAGACGATATCACCATCGTGGCGTACGAACGATATTCAATCAGGGGAGATATATTCTCAGCGCCAAATTACATGTTGCGACGTATAAAACTATTTTTCTGGTATCCACGCTAACTCTTGTCTCGAGCACAAAAACAGGAACCGGTTTCGTTTACCGACTGCCATAGATCGAAGAAAAAAAAAAAAAGAAAAAGGAAAAAAAATACTTGTCAATTGTTCGGTGTCTTCTTACATTCCATTTCCATTCATTCAACCCTTTCCACGATCCTCTCGCCGAGGATCGATCTGTTTTATACGTGGCAGCGACCGATCTACCTATCATATCGCCAGATTTTCTTATTACGACTAATTGTTATCTATCCGCGGTTCAAATAAACGATAGATAAATACCGAGTATCGACACGTGGCACACGCGATTGATGAACACCGTGGTGCGTTTTATCGGAGGATGTCGAGCCGATCTTTGATCGAAGGCCGCGCGTTTGCAAAGCGTGATCCATCGATTGATTGAAATCGAAACGCGAGTAGTTGATACGCGAGAAGAAGATATACATAAGTGTACATCAGGCGGGTATTAAGTTGTTCCCAAAAATTCTTTTCGTCGGATGATTGGCCTTCGAGAAATATACATATATCCGATATTTCTTCGATTTTCGTTCTTGACGTTCAACGTTGCCTCGAACACGACATCGCAAATAAATCTACGTCATTTTTTGAGAAGAATAAGATAAATGACTTGCATGGTAATGGAAGGGAGACTTGGAACACTGTATATACGATTTTTATAAATAATAAAATGTATCTGATTATTATAAGGTGTGTAAGTAAAGTTTTCAACAGCTCAAAATTTTTAAAAATAATAATAATAATAATAATAATGAAAGAAGATCTGTGTAATGAGAAAAAAATTTTTGGGACAATTTGATAATAATGGAATTTCGAATTGGAAGGTAACTCGTGTCCCTGGCACGTGACAGCGTGGCGCCAAATTCGAATTGTATAAACGCGACGGTATTTTTGTTGTTAACGTTTTTTCATGTTGATGTTCGTCGTCACTTTTTCTAATCAAACACACGAAACGAAACCACCGTTTTGAAAAATGAACAGACAATGTCCCCGTATACCGTCCCGTATATCGTTACGAGAGAATTTAACTCTGTTTTTCGCCTGTTCGTTTTCCTTTTTTTTTCCTCCTTTATTTTTTTTTCTTTCACATGAAACGAACGAAAAGAGGGGAAAAAAACACAGATGAACACGAAGCTCGAAAAACATTCAGGATATTCTATCTGCTGGATGATTGTAAATACTTTTCTCCTGCGAGGGAAACAGAAGAAACGTGTACGATGGAATTTTTAATTTTGTAAAATATAATAAAGGAAACCTAGGATGGAGAAAAGCCTTTTTTAGAATATATATATATATATACCGATGTTTCTCGATTATTAATTGTGATACAAATGTTTCTTAAGCAATGAAATCGCGAGGAAGAGATAATTAACATTTTGGAAGTGTTTACAGTGATTCAGTAGAATAGATCGGTACGTGGTCGGTCAATGGTTTCCTCTTTGTTCACCTTCCTCACCTATTATACTCGAAAAGGAATTTATAGGCAACGTTATAAACTGAATGACTGTAAATATTTCCTTATTCACAATGAATAACAACAGTTTTGTAATTTTTTCAAGAGAAAAAAATATATATATACAATATTTGCTTCCTTACTTATAACATTCTATCTATCATATTTTTTCTTTTTTTTATTATCCAAAAATCACGTTAAAAGATTTTGCAAAGATCCACAATCTAATCGATCCTAATAATCACAAAAAAAAAGGTACAAAGAAAGTGATAAAAACTTTTTAAACTTTTCTCCGACGTGTCGAAATGCTAGATAGAACATTTTAACTAAGGATGACAAAAGGTAAACCCAATATAACAAAAAAAAAAAAAAAGAATAAAATAAAATACGATTCATCTTCGATGATTTCGCTTCGACTCGCAAAGATTAAATAACAAAGATTCTTAACCGGGATTAACCTGAAAATAATCGAAGCGATTAAAGGTGGATAGTATTTACGGGAATCCAGTAGAATATCCCATTATCTGATCAGACGATTGCGCCACGAGCCGTGAAAGGAGGAAGCGCGCAAAGAGACTGAAAGGGGGCGAAATAGAAGGCGAAACTCCCTTTCGAGAAACTCGTTCGAAAAGGAAAGAGAGAAGCGTGTAATTACGTGTAAAACGTGTGGAACGAGATCACGCGATCTCGGG